AGAGGGGGCAGGTGTCTGTGGTTTGGTTGCAGTGCGTCATGGAGTGATGGGTGCATGGGCTGAGAATGAGTGATGGCAGGGACGGGCCAGGTGGGCAGGGGATGGAGACTGAGTGGGCCTGGATGCTGGCGGGTGAGAAGGGGCTGCAGACACCACCTGAGCCCTGGTGGGGACCTTCCTGCTCTTCTACCTTTGCTGTCCCTACTCTGGACCTTAGAGAGCTAGCTTGAGATTGCTCCCCTCTTCCACGAGCCCCCTGCATTCAGAAGTAACGCCCCTGGGCTGCTCTGTCCTAGCCCCAGGTGGGGTGTCCAGTCTGCTGCATTGAAAGCAAAGGAAACAACTTTGGCCCCGCGGATAAATTCTGTGGAGCCCGGAGAGGCACTAGCTGGCCGTCTGGGGTCCAGAAGCCCACCTCAGGGAGTGCCCAATCGTCTACCAGGCCACCTGCTGCACACCAGGCTCCCCACCTCTAGAAAGCCTTCTCCAGCCTGCCCTGTCCATGCCTACATCCCTAAGTCTCCTCGTCTTAATTTTCTTCCCCTCTGATCTCTGTCATGCTGCCTGAGTGACCATTCCTGTGACCAGGTCATCCCGCAGGGCCAAGCATCTTTGCTCTGGCCTGAACACCAGCTTATGTGCAGCTTACGTGCGACACTTTCTGGCCTTGGGGTGTCAGCTGGAATTATCCTAGTCCAGGCCTGTCTTCCCTGTTGACACAGAGGCTGGCTCTTGCTTACCCCCAGTGTTTACTGAAGCAGAGCTCCGCCCACTTTCCCGCCTGGCATCCCTGGGAATGTCAGTCTCTCCAAGGCCAGGGGCTGTGGCTTGTTCACGGCACAGGCGTGCTTCTGTGAGCACCCAGTACTTCTCCACTTCCCAGCCCCTCTTCTCCAGGGCCCCTCTCAGCTCTGTTTCTGACTCCACCTCCATACCAGATCAACTCAAGATGTTCTCCTGTTTGGGATAGGAGCCCCAGCTCCAGATCCCATTCTCAAGCCAACTGGTCAACCTCTGGCCTCTGACCCAGAGGCTGTGGGAACCCAGAACCTTTTCCTTCCTTCTGGAAGAGAGAGGCAGCTTGGTTGTCAGTAGGCAAAGTCCTCCTCCAGGGTCCTTGAATGTGTATGTCACTGCCATGGAGTTGTCCTCAGAGAGGGGGCTTCACTGGGGCCTGGACACGGGGAGGGATATACCCCAAGGCTGTGTCCCCTCAGGCTGGGCATCCAGCTCACTAGCTGTTCCCACAGCTGCCGTGTGGCAGCTCGCTGACCACGTGAATGAGGCTGTGTAGTCTGTAGCAGGTAGGTGTGGCAGGAAGATACAAAGAGAGTCCCCCAAATGAGGTCCCTTCAGATAAGCTGGTGGTCAGGAAGGGTGACACAGTGGGTGACACCTCTGTTACTGGGAGTTTTTCTTTCCTGTGATCCCTCAGGGAAAGCTGAACAGCTGGATGGAACACAACCTTGCCCCTGCTCCTCCAGAGATGCAGCCTCACGGGGTCCCAGGACCTGGAGCCTCCTTCCCCCATGGCCACATGCTGGGGCGACCTACCCACCCCTCACGGTTCCCTGGAGGGGTGTCTCCCCTCATCCCTGTCCTCAGGAAGACTGTCCGTCTGGATGCCTTCCCTCAAAGCCATGTGCAGACTTCTGGTAGATCAGGCCCGAGAGCCAGGTCCCGGAGCATGTCCCCACAGGATGCTGGCACTGCCCCAGGGGCTCCGCTGAGCTCCTTGCCTGTCAACAGCCTTGTGCCCAGGAAACTCAGCTCCATTTCCTTAACAATTCGTCAGAACAGCCACGCACAGCCCCTGGAGCCCCCAATGTCTCACTGGGAAGAGTTGCCCACCCTGAGCAGAGAGGCTGGCATCCACGGAGGAGGGAGACTTTCTGCTGCAAGTTCACCTCCTCTGCCCCTAAGGCCAGAGAGCAGGGTCCACGCTGAAGGCCCAGGGAACCCAGGGCAGAGCACACCCAGCAGGACACCTGCAGTGGAGAAGCCCGTGGTAGGCTCGTACCTGGCCTTTCCTTTTCAGTCTAGGCTAACCCTGAGTTCATCAAGCCTCCCTGGACCAGGCCCTGTGGGGCAAGCGCACAGCAGAGCTTCTCCAGGAAGAGGCAAGTCCCGGGCCAGGGGCATTCCCAGACCCCAGCTATGTCTCCCAAGGGCCGGCCCTGTTATGAATTTGTCTGCTGTGCACACAGCAAGGCCAGACATAACCAGACATCCAACTACAATGGACACCAAAGGACCTAGCTTGGCCATCAATGTGGTGGCCACACCAGATACATCCACACTGAACACAGGCACGGAGTTCTCCACTCTGGATGTCAAGCGGGGCTCAGCCACAGACCTATCCACAGCAGGTACCGCCAAGTCAAGCAAAACCAAGAACTTGGCTCCTGCAGGCACAAACAAGTCTGGCACAGCCATAAATTTGGCTACAGCAGAGACAACCAAGCCCAGCAAGGTCATGAATTTGGCAACCACAAAACCAGATGAACTGGGCAAATCCATGGTTACAGCAGATGCAGCCAAGCCAGACATGACCACAGAAGGCTCAGCCAAGCCTGAGATGACCACAAGGAGCACAGCCTTGGCTTGGACAATTCCAGATCTGTCCAAGTCAGGCACAGCAAGGTTGGACCCAACCACAGCTTTGGTGCCAGCAGATACAGCTGAGCTGGGCCCAGCTACGGACTCTCCTGTTTTGGGCAGAAGCAGCCTTGGAACAGCCGAGAGTTCAGCTATGCTGGTCACACCAGGCCCCACCAATGGGGAGACCAAGCCAGACAGTGTTAATCAACTGCTCATATCTGATGCTGCTCTCTACCCACAAATGCTAAGCAGAGGCACAGACATGGCCCAGGACAATGCCACAGTGGATGCTGCCACGGTGCCTGCCATGGTGTCCGGAGAATGCAAAGGTAAGCAGAAGAACTGGGCGCTGCTGGGGGGGCAGGACGCGTGAGAACGTGGAGGTGGATGGTGCTTGGATAGGTTATCGGAGGGAGGGAGGATTCTAAATTCAGAATTGAAGGAAGGAGTTTGGGGAAAAGGGAACAAAGAGTGGAAGGGCCAAAGATTGGGTGTGTAGCTTCCAGCTAGAGGTCAGGCTGAGGGAAGCTGATGGAAGGAGGGTTTATGAGAGGAACTTGTAGAGGAGCAATCACGCTGAGTCCTCTCCTGAGCATCGCCTACAGGATTGTTGGCTCGCTAAAGAGCTTCCACGCTCAGGTGATTACTGGGTGAGTCCAACTTCAAAAGCGGACTTCCTATGTGAAAATACAGACTAGTGCTTCAGTAAACTGTGATTTGCCTAATAGTAGTAGCCACTGCAAAAGTGAAATGTTGATCTTGGATGAGTCCTAATCCCATCCACTTTTGGCCTTTTATGAAGCTATCTGAGGATTAAAAGGTGCCTTTCCTGGAAGTCTAGTTCTTGGCCTCCCACCTGAGTCCTGAACAGTAGCTTACAGACTTGGATATGTGGAAATCCTACTCAGTCTTATAAACACAAGCTCCAGAATGTCCCCAGTCATCTTAGAGAGGCGGTGGCACACCTAAAGCCACACCAAAGCTGCTTGGTGGCAGCAGACTGATTGGAACCCAGACCTCAGACCCAGACTCCTACTCTGGGCAGCTGATTCCCAACGTTTCAAAGGCTTGGGGATTCTGGGTCAGGAGAGAGGCTTGAGAAACATCCAGCCCAGGGCCTGAATGGGGTTCTTGGCTTGTCGGCCCCTTGTCATCCTCTGCGCTCTCAGCCTGGGGCCTCCCTGGTCCTGCCTGACCTGTGAGCCTTCCTGTGTGACCTGTGCTCTCCCTCCATCTTTGTAGGCCTCTCCCCTCCCATGCAGACTTACAGCCAGTGCCTGCTGGACTCCTCCCCTCCACAGCCCTTTCCTTCCTGAGCTGACTCCTGTCCTCCCCAACTTCCTTCAGCCTCAGGCACTGCCCACACCTTTCATCCTTGGATTAGAGGCCTGAGGTTCCTCCTCTTTCTCATCATTCTTTCTATTACAGCCCATCCGTGCTATTCTGGTCTTGTTGATTCACCTCCTCAGTATCTGACTGGGCAGCTGTCTCCATCCCTCTCCCCACTCCACCCCAAGTGGCCACAGGGACTTATCTATTGGGTGACAGCGCTTCTTAGCATGTCACTTCCCCGGAAATTCAGCTAACTCTGGTTTCCAAGGCCAGGCTTCTCCAGCCTCCCTGCGGGAGGCCTGTGCGCAGGCTTTTTC